TTGAAATAGTGAAATAACGGTCAAAAAATTGATTTTAATTGAGTTTTAAGCTGCACCAAACATGCTCTAAGAGTAATGATATTTAACTCCAGTTTATGTGATGTTAGGTGATACATTAAATGAAATGTGGAATTAAATTACTTGTTTAATTGTACTTATCATTTAATCACATTAGTGCTATATAGGTTGGGGTTATAACTTTAGTTGGGCTAAATCACATTACTCAAAAACTAAAGTCCTCCATGAACCATTTTCAAACAATCGGTGTAGTGCTGTAACATAGTGTATATTAGTAATAAGGTTTGATGAAGTACAATGTTAGCTAAAATCTTGGTTATTTATCTCAGTTTGAAACCGATTATTAAAAATAAAAATAAAAAATTGGCAAAGATATTATCGAGAAAGAAAAGAAGTTAAAATATTGTCCGTTGTACTATTTAATTATATGTAATACTCATACGATTTGATAAAATTTTACCACGACCATCAACTTATTGAAACAATAATTTGTGTAGGCTTGAGACTCTACTGACCAAAAAAATTAAAGGCCTTGGGCCAGATTTTTAAGGAGAGTCTTCGAAAATTTTAATAGAAAAAATTAAACCGAGGAAATAATCACTGATTGAAATTTCGTTAGTGATTTTGTTGACAGTATAATTTTCAATAATCTGAATCGAATTAATCAAATTACTAATTTATATCAAAACAATTGATAATCAAGTTTATGTTTTCTTTATTTTTAAATTTATCTAATGAATTGCCTGATGGAATGTTTTGTCGATAACTTAAGCTTGTCGTTTTTCAATATTGCTACAGTGAATGTCTCAATGACAGGTTCAATGTCAGCGGACAAACGTCAATACATAATTGGATAATTTGAAAAAAATAAAAAATAAAAAATCCAATTATTGTTGCCATACCATCTTTTTACCTCCATCATTATCGTGGATTAGTAATATTTTGGGTCTTTTGGTACTGTTTCTTAGATTTAATTTTTTGGTTGTTAAAGAGAAAAGTGAGTCTCATCTATGAAAAAAGAAGTAAAAAATGACGGCTGACCATGCTGAATAACGGTCAAAAAATTGATTTTTTAGCTTAAAAATCAGAACCAATCATGGGCTTTGTTTTTACAAAATCACCTAATCGAAAATATGGTATTCTAGATTTCCGTTATGAGAAGAAGGATAATGTAACTGTTCAAGTTTATGTTTATCTTGAACATGTATTTAGATGCATTGAAAAATGATTAGGATAGTAGTTGCTAAACAAAGTAGGAATACTAAGAAGTGGGTAATCATAAAATATTAATGAAGAAGATCTGGGCAAATCTTCTTAGAACAAGTAAACCCCATTTTTTATAACCCAAAAGGGTTAATTTCACAAACGGTCACTAAACTTACACAAAAATTACAAAACGATCACCGAAATTTAAAACTTTCAGTAATGGTCACTTAAGTATTGGGACGCTTTAAAAAATGTTCACTGAAGTTTAAAAAGTTTCTGAAACGGTCACTGAAGTTGAAAAACGCTTTTTTAGTTTTTTTGGTTACATTTGCGGCAATTTTTCGGCTACTTCCAATCATCGATACCATCGAATTTTGATATCGTTGGAAATCTCACAACGTCCTCTTCAATTACCACTCAAAATCTCTCTGTAAAACCAAGGAATTCGACCGAAAAATCACCGCAAAATTCGTCCCAAAAAATCTGAAAATCTGCACAAATTTTCAGATTTTTGGGCTACTTTTACGGCAATTTTCCAGCAACTTTCGACCACCAAGACCGCCGGATTTTGATACCGTTGGAAAGTCCACAATGTCCTCTTCAATTACCATCCAAAATCTTCCCCAAACTCCAAAGGATTCGGCCGGAATAAATCCGCAAATTCGACATCCCAAAAAGGAGAAAATCTGGGATACCAACTTTGTGAGTTTATTCCGACCGAATCCTTTGGATTTTTGGGGAGATTTTAGATGCTAATTAAAGAGGACATTGTGAACTTTCCAACGTATCAAAATTTGACTATTTTGGTGGTCGGAAGTTGTCAAAAAATCGCCGCAAAAGTCCACCATAAATCTAAAAATTTGGGCAGATTTTTGCCTTTTCGGGTAGCCAACTTTGTGATTTTATTCTGGCCAAATCCTTTGGAATTTGGGGGAGATTTTTTGTTGTAATTGAAGAGGATATTGTAGGCTTTCCAACGGTATCAAAATCCAGTGGTATCAGTGCTCGAAAGTGGTCGAAAAATTGCTGCAAAAGTAGCTCAAAAATTTTTAAACTTTAGTGACGATTTTTGAAAGCGTCTCAATACTTAAGTGACCGTTACTGAAAGTTTTAAATTTCGGTGACCGTTTTGTAATTTTTCTATAAGTTCATTGACCGTTTGTGAAATTAACTCTATCCCAAAAGCATCTGAATTCAAAGTAAACGCACCTGAAATGTTTAACTAGTTAAAGGAGAGCTCTTATTTACCTGGAGGATCTTGCTGCATGTATATCAAGTTATACATAACGAGTTATATAATGTAATATGTCACTCTATTATGTGCCAGTTTAAAACATAATTAGCTTTTTAATCCAATCTTTTCTCTCCACATTATCTTAGATAATTCCTTATGTATCATTTATATATATAAATAGCATAATCCTTACCTAAAAGTTTGAGCCCCGAGCTACATACTAATGCAACGTGCCCCATTGGGTTACAACCCCAGTTTAGATGACGTTAGAAGATAGACTAAATAAAACGTGAAATTAAATAATTTATTATGAAATTAAATTTAATTTCACCTATCATTTAATGTCATATTAACACGATCTAGACTGTGTTGGCTAAATAGCGTTACTCAATGTTTAACTAGTTGATGGCTCTTGATTGCTTATGCACTATACAAAGCAAATAGCACTAATTACTGGATTGATGAATAATTAATTCCAAAAGAACCATATTCTGTATCAAGTAAAAGGGTGGATGATAAGCCATAAACGGATGATAAGCCGTAAACGGATTAAATTGTTGTCATTGAAAGATACAAAATCAATAGAATAATTTTCAGTCACTTTCACCATTACTGAAAGTTTTAAACTTCGGTGATCGTTTTGTAATTTTTCTGTAAGTTCAATGACCGTTTGTGAAATTAACTCTATCCCAAAAGCATCTGAATTCAAAGTAAACGCACCTGAAATGTTTAACTAGTTAAAGGAGAGCTCTTATTTACCTGGAGGATTTTGCTGCATGTATATCAAGTTATGCATAATGAGTTATATAATGTAATATGTCACTCTATTATGTGTCAGTTTAAAACACAGTTAGCTTTTTAATCCAATCTTTTCTCTCCACATTATCTTAGATAATTCCTTATGTATCATTTTTATATATAAATAGCATAATCCTTACCTAAAAGTTTGAGCCCCGAGCTACATACTAATGCAACGTGCCCCATTGGGTTACAACCTCAGTTTAGGTGACGTTAGAAGATAGACTAAATAAAACGTGAAATTAAATAATTTATTATGAAATTAAATTTAATTTCACCTATCATTTAATGTCATATTAACAAGACCTAGACTGTGTTGGCTAAATAGCGTTACTCAATGTTTAACTAGTTGATGGCTCTTGATTGCTTATGCACTATACAAAGAAAATAGCACTAATTACTGGATTGATGATTAATTAATTCCAAAAGAACCATATTCTGTATCAAGTAAAAGGGTGGATGATAAGCCATAAACGGATGATAAGCTATAAAGGGTGGATGATAAGCCATAAACGGATGATAAGCTATGAAGGGTGGATGATAAGCCATAAACGGATTAAATGGTTGTCATTGAAAGATACAAAATCAATATAATAATTTTCAGTCACTTTTTGTATGTATATAATGCTTAGAATTCACAAAAGAGTTGCACACAAAATAATTCATTCCTTACTACATTTTGGAGTACTGTTATAATCAAGAAATTCTCAAAGAGGAAGAGGCTTCAAAATGACAGTAAGAATCTTTACCCTTAGAAAATAATTTTTGAAAGAAATTAAATAGATACAACACGCATGCATAAATATAACTTGCGTTTCATTTATGATTCTAGTTGGACGCTTTGTTTACTCGTGCCACATAAATGTCATTTATGATATTACTTCGACGTTTTGTTTGCTTTCGAGTAACTATGACATTACGTGTTAGAAAACCAACAAGTTTGTATTTTTCCTCAGTTTGATACCTAATTAGGTCATTACCATTTACCAGTCATGTAAATTTGATCTATCTGGTGAAAAGAGAGCCTATTTCTCAGCTCTATATCACCTTTTACATTGCCAAGAAAATGTGCACAAAAATTGGCCTAAATCAAGGGAAAAAATCACCAAAATACAATAAGTTCATTAAATTCTGCTGGTGCCACTTGTTTTGACATATACTACCTACCAAACTAACCACATCTGCAGTAATAATCATCAGCTCATTCATAATTGATTTTTTTATTTTTTCATTTTCTTAAAAATAACTTTGTATGAAACTATGCCTTCACCTCCAAAAAGGGTGTCCCTAATGCCCCAGGCCTGATTCTTGACTTCATCTGTACCTCCTTGGGTCGAGGTAAAAAATATCGTATCATATTGCGTTCTATAGAATTAAAACTTAGACACAGGATTTTATCTACGGTCGATATTATCACGATCTTTTGCAAGTCGAAAGGGGTAATGATCTTTTGCGTATCATATTGAAAGTCAATTTCTACATGCCTTTAAGTGGTGGGGTATTTTGGAACAAGAACTTATAACTTATTGCTTTAGTCCACACACGAGAGGCCTACACTGCCTTTATCTCCTGGTTTATATATAGCCTGCCATGCTTTCACATATCATGCACATTCCTTCACTGATTCATATTCAAAATCAGACACAAAATTTTGCAGAAGTTCTTTGATTTATTCGGGTTTTTCAAAACTCGTGTTTTCATCAGTAGTTAAAAAGTACCGAGTAAAAAACAATTAGATCGATACATACTGAATTTCAAGAGCATTGAATATCACAGTATATCTTTGTATCAAAATCATGCGCCACATATTCATCTATTTTCATTCTGTCATGTCTGAAAACAAAGATGGGCGAAAACAAACCCCAGTTCCAAGGTTTTGATGTCTCCCTCAATGTGCCTGGTCCGCAATGTATCGATGATGGTGACAGGCTCAAAAGAACTGGTAAATTCCCTAAATTATGCTTATCTGAGTTCGGAGTTTCACTTTCGTGATAAATATGGGTTAATCGCTTTTCACCACTTCGTTCATTTCATTCAACTGAATCCTTAGCAACTACAAGAAACGATGTTAGTTTCTGTAATATACATGCTGTGTTTTGTCTTTAGTGATTATGTTTTTTGTCATATGCACGACAAAAAACTAAGCCTCGTTCTTTATAAATTTGAGCAGGGTATGTCAAACCATTCTTGCCATTACTTCCGTTTCATTGCAAAGTAACCAGGTCCTTATAAACTACGACAAACAAGATTAGTTCATGTATATTTGCTGTGTTTTTCTCTTGTAGGAACTGTATGGACTGCAAGTGCTCACATAATAACAGCTGTGATTGGTTCTGGAGTACTGTCTTTGGCCTGGGCTACTGCACAGCTTGGATGGATAGCTGGTCCAACGGCGATGTTCTTGTTCTCATTTGTTACATATTACACTTCTACTCTTCTGGCAGCTTGCTACCGGTTCGGGGATCCAGATTCCGGGAGAAGAAACCATACTTACATGGATGCTGTCCGAGCCTACCTCGGTAATGTTAAAGAAACGGAATTATTTTCGTCTGATTATTTACCTAATAGGTCATTCCAATGTAGGCTTCTTTTGCTAAGTAGTAAAACCAATTTCTGACTTGTGAGATTTCAAATTTCAGGCGGATTTCAGGTGAAAATTTGTGGAGCGATTCAGTACTTGAATCTTTTTGGAGTTGCCATCGGTTACACTATTGAATCATCTAAAAGCATGATGTAAGAATAAACAAAAGTTAATACTGTCATGTTATGTATATTAGGCTGGACAACACTGGAAACGATTATGGAGATTTTACAGAGTTGTCTAGTACTGAGTACTAAAAAAGTCGGATATTTTTATGCTTCGAAAATTTACCACTGATGAAAAGTTAACATAGCAGGGCAATCAAGAGGTCTAATTGCTTCCATTCAAAAGGGGATAACAGTCCTTGCAGAGTTTCAAGCAATCCTTATATGATTGCATTTGGAGTGATGGAAATAATTTTCTCTCAAATTCCAGATTTTGATCAAATATGGTGGCTTTCAATTGTTGCAGCAGTAATGTCCTTTACTTACTCAAGTGTTGGACTAGGACTTGGAATTGCCAAAGTTGCAGGTAGGAAAAGGGAATCTCTAAACAATTTATAAATTTATTATTATTATTATTTTTTTTTTGTCAAATTTTGTTCTAAGATTTTTGCGCATTTTATTGTAGAAACTGGGAAAATTCGGGGAAGCCTTACAGGAATAAGCATTGCATATGTGACTCCAATGGAGAAAATATGGAGAAGTTTTCAAGCACTTGGAGCCATAGCTTTTACTTGTTCTCCCTCCCTTATTCTTATTGAAATTCAGGTATAATTCGTTTCCCTACTGTAATCCTTGTAACCGAGAGACGAGAGCTAGAGATAAGGAAGCAAACCTAATCCCAATCATGCGAAGAATATTAACCAAAAGGAAACCAGAAAGACATACGAGCAAACATACAGATTTGTAATGTTTTGCTCTCAATGTGATAACTGTTAACGGAGATGAAAAATTATAATGGCGATCTCAAACTTCTGAAAAAACGGCAATTATTAAATCATTTATATATGGGAATACTAGGGACACCTCCTACAAATATGAATGTCCAATATAACTTATAGTACATAAAAAAATCGCCATAAACAATGGATACTAGGCCTATTTATGTTGATCCAGTAGAAGTATATCGTCCTATTAGGCACCACATAATCCAACAGTAGTCGTGATGATATCTATGTCGATCCATGTAATTTTGTAGCTAACATGTTAAGTACCCCCCCTCTAGGAAAAAGTGTAGCAACTGATTTCAATTTCATCTGTTCCCATCACAGGATACAATAAAGTCACCACCATCAGAGTACAAAACAATGAAGAAGGCTACACTACTAAGTGTAGTAGTAATAACCCTTTTCTACATGTTCTGTGGCTGTTTCGGCTATGCAGCATTTGGAGACTTGTCACCTGAAAATCTCCTAACAGGTTTCGGATTCTTCAACCCTTATTGGCTACTCGACATCGCGAATGCAACCATAGTTATCCACCTTGTTGGTGCATACCAAGTTTACTGTCAACCCCTTTTCGCCTTCGTCGAAAAAAAAGCATCAAAACATTTTCCAGAGAGTAAATTCATCACAAAAGAAGTTGAAATCCCAATTCCTGGCTTTAAGTCCTTCAAACTCAACCTTTTTCATTTAGTTTGGCGAACGGTATTCGTTATCATAACAACTATAATCTCAATGCTTATGCCATTCTTCAACGACGTTCTTGGGATTCTTGGTGCATTCAGTTTCTGGCCTTTAACCGTTTATTTCCCCGTTGAGATGTATATAGTACAGAAAAAGATAACAAAATGGAGTCCGAGATGGATTTGTCTTCGAACACTGAGTTTAGCATGTCTTGTTATTTCCATTGCTGCTGCTGCTGGTTCTTTCGCTGGAGTTGCTTCTGATCTCAAAGTGCATAAGCCATTCAAGACTAGTTACTAATTATGTTCAATTTAGACCAAACAACAAAGGACTGAATATTAGGATTTTCATTTTTAGTTCTTGTTCATAACAAAACTAAGAGAGTCCAATGTAAGTATGTATTCGTGTGGGGGTAAATCCAAGTTTCTCCTCAAATCTTTAATGCTGTCTACTTCTCTGTTGAAATAGAGAGCTAGGTCTATAAGTGCCTTGACTTTTTCGCTGTTTAAGGAATGTCTTGTACAAATGCATGTTCTTGAGAAATTGTAGTCGTTCCAAACAATGCTATAAAAACCGGACCGATAGTAGTCGAGTTTTATACTAGACTGGTACAAAACGTGTTCAACTAACTTATTGATCCTGAAACTATTGAGGTTGACTCCAGCTCACCCTTTGACCCCTTTACCCATTTGGGTAGGTCTATGCTAAGGCCATATTTTAAGACGCTGGATCCAAAATATCGCTACTTCAACAATATTTAGCAAAGTTTAAATTATATTTTAAACCGATCAAATATACTTTTATTTGCATATTTCGTAGAATTCACAATTATCCTCCACTTGTTACTTACACATTCAGTAAAATTCATATCTCAGATTCTTGCCGTGTACAAACAATCAAGATGCGTGCACACTAAAATCTAAATCCAATATATACTTATCAGCTGATAGTATCTCAAGAAGTTCAAATTTATTAACTAAGAAAAACATCAATCTTAAATAAAGTTTATACAGTTTATCTGCCTATGTTTGGCTCATGTCAATAGACTATATATAAACATTAAAATCACTTTTTATTCACAAATTTCGAAAGACCCACAAACACTACTCACTTATACATCGCTCATTATATATGTTATAATTTAAATTGTTTATGCACTTCTGCACATGCTTGGCATATTTTTCACCTACCCTAAATTTCTTTTGTTTTGCAAAAGTTCTAGTGTAGGATATGATGATCAAACATGAAATTTTAGTTTATGTAGTGTTTAGGACATGCTTTAAATGTTTATAAGCGAATTAAAATCTGTTGAAGATGCAGTATGAAAATTAAAGGAATTTCTACCGTGTCATATCTTTTTGTTTTTCGTGTTCCAACTGAGCTCAACCTTTTGCTAATTATATGGACTATTCAGGCTTTTGGAGGACAACACCTCTCTCTCTCTCCCAACCCCCCCCCCCCCCCCGGGGGGGGTTTTTCTTTTTGTTTATAAGCAAATTAAAATCTGTTGAAGATGCAGTATGAAAATTAAAGGAATTTCTACCGTGTCATATCTTTTTGTTTTTCGTGTTCCAACTGAGCTCAACCTTTTGCTAATTATATGGACTATTCAGGCTTTTGGAGGAAAACCCCCCCCCCCCCCCCCCAACCCCCCCCCCCTCCCTGGGGGAGTTATATCTATGCTTAATGACCTATACGTAGAATAATATGTATTATAATCCTCTAGTGCTATAGGTATAGATAAAGAGCTTTTGATTAAAGGTCAAAGCAGGCTAGATTATAATTTATTTTTTCACTTTAAGGATAAAATTAGTGTGAGGTTTTGTACTCTACACAAGTAGACAATGTTTAAAAATGCTTAATCGGATGGGGCGAGTCATAAAAACCTATATAATATTTCAAAAGATTATAAAAATATAAAAATGCTCATAAAGATCCTTAAATTATTCATAATAAAATATATTAACTAAATTAATAGTCTAACTTGTAAGCAAACATAAAAAATGTAAATAAAGTAGAAAAATAATTTCTTAAATTAGTAATCAAGTAACAAAATTTAATATACTAATAGAAGTAGAAACCGATATACTTGGACCAATGGTCGGGTCAGAAAGACATTGGATAGGGTACTTATTAATTCTACAGCTGCAGCTTTTTGTCGACAGCTTACAGTGAGACACTTGAATCGGACTTCATCCGATCACTCTCCTTTATTGCTTCAGTGGGTTTCTGATGATGATTTGGGGCCTAGACCGTTCAGATTCCTCAATGTTTGGACCAAGCACCATGATTTTTTAGCCTTTGTCTCCCAGAAGTGGTCGCTCCCTACTCATCTCACAGGGATGACCGCTCTCTGGGAGAAGTTCTTCAGGCTAAAACAGGGTCTGCGCTGGTGGAACCGACATGTATTTGGAGATATTTTCCAGCGGGTGTGCGATACTGAGGTCGGGGTTGATGAGGCTGAGATAATATATGATAGAGATCCTACACCGGAGCACCGTAACTTACTACATCAGGCCCAGGCAGTTTTGAACCGAACCTTGTCTATTGAGGAGGGCTTTTGGAAGCAAAAGGCCGGTTCACGTTGGGCATGTGAGGGTGATCACAATACTCGATATTTTCATGCGATGGTTCAGGGCCGTAGGATCAAATCGCGTATCAGGTCTATCAGGACACAGGCAGGGGAAGTGTTATCTACTGCTACTGATATTCAGACCTCGGCTGTTGCTTTCTACCAGGATCTCTTATCTGCTCCTCCACAACCCTTGGACCACATCCGTTCTGATGTCATTCCGAGGCTATTGACGGTGGACGATAATTTGGCACTAAACCGCCCCCCTTTGATTCATGAGGTACGGGAGGCAGTTTTCAGTATTGATGCTGACAGTGTCGCTGGTCCGGATGGCTTCTCATCCCTATTCTTCCAGCTACACTGCTACCGCGCATTATTTCCTCTCCACAGAGTAGTTTCATCCCAGGCCGTCTGATTGGAGATAATGTTTTATTAGCTCAGGAGCTTCTCTACACTTTGGATGATAGAGTGCGAGGGGGAAACACTATGCTGAAGTTAGACATGGCTAAAGCATATGATCGCATGGACTGGGGCTTCATTTATTCTGTATTGGAGGCATTTGGATTTGATCAGATCTGGATTGACAGAATCAGGCGATGCGTTTCGTAGCGTCGTTTCTCCGTACTCCTAAATGGCCGCCCATGTGGTTTCTTTCCCTCCTCACGAGGACTCAGACAGGGTGATCCTATCTCTCCATCCTTGTTCATCATTGCAGCAGACTACTTCTCACGCTTGCTCACTCAGAGGTTTCAGCAGTATCCCAGTATGTGTTATCGACATGGAGGTAGTGCTCTTGTCTCACATCTCTCATTTGCTAATGATATGATCATCTTTGCCAACGGTCAGAAACAGTCTATCAGGAGGGTCTTAGACTGTTTGGAGCATTATGAAGGAGTTTCTGGCCAATTGGTGAATAGAGACAAGAGCGGTATTATACTATCCAGATGGGCATCCACTAGTCAGATCAGACGACTAGAGATTTTGACTGGCTTCAGACATCAACAGCAGCCTTTCACTTACTTGGGTGTCCCCTTATTCAAGGGGACTAAGAGGAGCTTCCTTTATGATGACCTCATCCAGAAGATAAGGGATAGGATATCAGGTTGGGCCTCACGATTACTATCGCCTGGGGGTCGTATTACATTACTGAAGTCAGTACTTTCTTCCATACCTTTACATCTCTTCAAATTATGCAGCCGCCCAAGGCAGTGCTGAAGAAACTTGAGAGCATCTTTGCCCGATTCCTATGGGATTCTAAGGATCAAGCACGACGTCTACATTGGAGGAGTTGGAAAGAGATTTGCCTTCTGACTGATGAGGGAGGCCTCGGCTTTAGGAGATTACAAGATGTGGTGGACACCTTCTCCATAAAGCTCTGGTGGTTGTTCCGATCTCAGAGGTCACTTTGGGCTCAATTTTTACTGGGCAAGTATTGTAAGGGGACGCATCCTTTACTTGCAGCAGTTCCCAGTTCAGCTTCCCCTACCTGAAAGAGGCTGAAATCAGTTGGGCCACGAACGGATCCGCACATTGCTTGGCACCTTGGAGCCGGTCAGATTTTCTTCTGGCCTAATTGTTGGATGGGCGAGTCCACGTTGGCATCCCTATTCCCCCACAGACAGCACACATCTGCGAGGGTACATGATTTTTTTGATAACACTGGGTGGGATTTTGGACGGTTATTACAGGCCCTTCCTTCTCACATGGCAAAACAAATAGGGGCGATACCTTTATGTGCAGATGCACCGGACCGAATTGTTTGGAAAATTACTTCGGATGGTGACTTTACCACCAAATCAGCATGGCAACTAGTCCATTTGGTTCGCCAGCCTCAGGACTCATATCGACTGCTGTGGAGCTCTATTTTGCCTACCACTATTTCATTCTTCTGCTGGAGACTATGGCAGGATCTCATTCCAGTAGATGTTTTTATTCATAGGAGAATTGGATGTCAGTTGGCTTCTCGTTGTCAGTGTTGTTCCGAGATTGAGACCATCAATCATATTTTCACGAGCAGCAGCATCTCCGACCAGGTATGGCAGCACTTTGGAGACATCTTTCAGATACCTATGACTTCAGGGGAGGGGGTCAGACAGAGGTTCCAGAGATGGCAGTATTCTGGACAGCACGTTTACTGTGAGCACATTCGTATTATCATTCCTCTATTGATATTTTGGTTTCTATGGACTGAGAGGAATGATGCGAAGCATAGAGGTATTCGTATGGTGGCCAGACGTATTATTTGGAGGGTCTACCGCATGATCTCCTTTCTTCATATGGGAGGACTATTCCGAGTTGAGCATTGGCGTGGAGATGTGACACTTGCACCCTTTTTTGGTATTTCTTTGACCCGTCCTCTCCCACCACCACCTATTATGGTTGTTTGGCGCACTTCACCAGTTGGATCCTACAAGATCAACACTGATGGATGCGTCAAAGATGGATTTGCAAGTGGTGGAGGCATCATTAGAGACCACGCAGGATACTGTATCAGGGCATTCTCAGCATCGTATGGCCCATGTTTCATTTTGGAAGCTGAGCTCAGAGCCATACTAGATGGGCTTCTATTGGCCAGAGGACTTGGGATTTCAGCTATCTGGCTCGAGGCAGATTCAACATTGGCTATTCACTGCATCACCAAATGTGGAGGACCATGGTCGATTCAGGGTATTCTTAGACAGATCAGAGACCTCATCTACTTCGATAGAGACGCAATTTCACATATCTACAGAGAAGGCAACTAGGTTGCCGACTCTCTTGCTACAGAAGGCTGGAATCATCGGCGCTATCTAGAGTATGGACCACTAGAACTGCCTCGACATATTAGGGCGCTAGTGCAGATCGACAGACATGGATTGCCCAGTTTCAGAGGTTCGTAATTTAGGCCATGATTATTAAATAATTTTTATTGTATAGGGAAGTAGTGCTTCCTCGTTTATTGCTTTCATTTTATTATATTCAGTTGTTACATCACTGCTTTTTGGAGGTCAGGTTCATGCCCCCTTCCTTCCGTGTATTTTTGATTTTTATG